ATGCAAATGTGCAGAGGTTTGAGATGGTATTCTTTTTTTTAGGGAACTGGCAGTAGTTAGTATAGCTAGACCATAGGATGCTTGAATAGAGTGGTGGGAGATGATGCAGCTAAACCTGGCAGGAATGAAATCCTGAATAACAGTGTGTATGTGCGCAAGAGTCTGGACTTCATCCCACAGGTGAAGGGTACCCATTGAACTGAAACAGGAAGAAACAGGATCAGATTTGTGTTTTTGAAAGGCCACTCTGGTATGAAGATGTTTGTATAGAAAGAATTGGAATAGCGGTGGAACCAAAGGAGTTCACTTAAGGGGCCTCTGTGGGGCGTTAGCCGTGCCTTTTGCTCTTGTGCTCATTTCTTCATTCTCATAGGCCTTAATGGCTCAAACTGCTTTTTTTTTTTTGATACTTGCCACCATCTTCTCTGTCCACTGGGGTACATTTCTCCACAAGACTCCCTAAAAAGTAGAACGTAGGCGCCCCCGCTCCCCATATTATTGTTACTCAAAAAGAATTTTTAAAAATTGAGATATAGTTGATATATAACATTATATTAGTTTTAGGGTTATAAGATGATTCAATATACATTTATATTGCAAAGTGATCTCCACAAAAAGTTTAGTTAACATTTACAACCACACATAGTTATGATGTTTTCTTTTTGGTTTATATATATTTTTTATTGTATTTTTTCTATTATTAATTATTTAGTCCCCTTAGATTTTTTTTTTCTTGTGATGAGAACTTTCAAGATGTATACTCTTAGCAACTTTGAAATATACTACACAATTATAGTCACCATCTTATACAGTATATCTCCAGGACTTGTTTTATAACTGGAAGTTTGTGTCCAGGACTTTTTCATTTTAATACTTTTATTGCAATTTATATTGGGATTAAGATATGGGATAACAAAAATTACAAACATGGGGACATTTAAAAATCTTATAAAGCTATTTCAATTTATGGCTCTTCATTTCTTTAGAAATGACAACTGGAAGTCCTAATGCATGGCAAGGAGGAGGCTGAGAACCATGAGATTCCACAGGACAATCTGGGAAATTGAGTTGCACAAAGAGATGATAAATGACACCTCTTACCATCATCACTTTTTTTTTTTTAGTTCAGTTCAGAACTTTGGATTAGGAGAAAAAAATCCTTTCCATTTCCTCAGATGTTTGAATGAGACCCAGATGTCCTCATTCCTTTATAGATAATTTATTTTCTTCTCCTTCAGCCCTTATTCCCAAAGGTCCAGCTAAGGGAAAGCTTGTGTAGATGGGCGTCAAATAAAATTCTTCCATTTCAGTGTCCTGACACATGGTTTCAAAGGGCTCTTTGTTGCAGTGGGTTGGAGAGGTTGTTCAAGGTTGGGTCGGTGTGGAGAAAAGACTGTTCCATGATGCGACCTCAACCTGTCCTGTGGGCTAGAGCCAGACCAGAACAGAGGTTGCTTTCTGCAAAGCCCCCTAACAGACTGTCTAATCTTAACTGATGTTTACTCTGATATAAATCAGCACTCCTTCTTTGCCTCCTGCTATGAGCTGGTTCCTGAAACAGGTAGTTGTCCTACCTGGTCAAGCATGTAAAGTAATTTTCAGTACCTGGCAGCATTCATGTACTAGCACCCATGATTACCCACCCCTCTCTCCCCCCTTACCCTGTATAATTTTTTGGCATCTACCAAGCGGTTTGGGAATCTCTTTCCTCTTGCAGTAACCCAAGACATTCTTTGTATGTAGGTTTTCCTTAATAAACTCTATTAATTACTAGATTGGAGAAGCTAGCCTCTTTCTGTGGTCTTTTCCTGTCCTCCACTCAGAGAGGTAGATTTTTAGTTTTGGGGCTTCTGGGTCTGTGTGGACTAACGATTGATGAAGAACTGCTCAGTCTCTCTGATGGGACCCTGTCATCTTAATGTGGTCAGGACCCACAGAGACACATTATTTGTGGACTGGTACATGCGCCATTGAAAGAGGGGAGAAATTAGGGGTACTAGTCAGGCACATTTCCTCTATTTACCTTCTTAGACCAGAGAGCACCACTTCCCCCAGCCAACATGCATGGTTTACACAGCCTGGCCAGGTTCCACAGACTGCAGCGACATTAACATCTAAAGATCAGGCTACAGATGTGATTCTCAAAGATCTCCCATTTAGATCCCTATGAAATATTTGTCTTTCTGATCTTAGACTTTTACCGTTCCTGTGACATCCAGTTATGGGGGTTAGGGGGGTACCTGTGCCATTATCCAAACTGAATGTTACGTTTTTACACTAGATAGATGTGTTAATTCTTATTTGTTAGCACATATGAAAACTCAAATGATTTGGCCCCAAGCCCAAGTGACCCATTAAACCACTGGTTTTGGGCCTGGGGGTGGGCACAATGGAAAAAATTGTTACTAATATTTGGACTGCTTCTTTGTCCCTTCTTTTATATGTCTGTACTGTTGCTGTATCTCCAATGCAGTCAATTGGCAACTAAGCAAGCTACCTACTGCTGCTGAAGCCCCTCACTGACCACTCAGGGAAGCTTGTGCAAGAGGTGGACATTTGAGAGTATAAGAGCTGGTCACAAGGGGTGGAGTGTGGAGGAAAGACTATTTCATGACATGACTGCTGTTTGTCCCAGAAGCTGGAATGGAGGTTGCTTTCCACAACCCCCACCCTTACAGACTCTCTTATCTTAATTGATGTTCATTCTGACATAAATTAGCACTCCTCCCTTGCTTCCTGCTATTTGCTGGTTCCTGGAACAGGATGTTGTTTTGACCTGACCAAGCATATAATCTCTGGCATTCATGTACTAGTGTCTGTGACTATTCCCCACTTTCACCCTACGGGATTCTTTTGCATTTGTCAAGCAGCTTAGGGGTCTATTTTGTTTTGCAGCCACCCAAGACATGCCTTGTAAGTTTCCCTTTATAAACTCGATTAATTATGAGACTAGAGTGGCCAGCCTCTTTCTTCAGTCTTTCCCTGCCCTCCACTTAATGGAAGTAGATTTTCATTTTTGGGGTTTTCCCTGGGTCTGCCTATACTAAACAGTTGGGAAAATACTGGCCTCCAATGCTTACTCCTTTCAAACGGTGCATAAACACCTTGCAAAGTAACTGTAGAATGGAGATGGACAAGACAAATTGACAGTCATGATGAACTAATAAGCTGAAGAGGAAAGCAGGGGGTTCAATATAGTTTGATCATGATAACTTTGGTGGTACTGCTGGCATTTTCTTTGTGGCATTGACAGGTTTTCTGGTTGTTCAAACGTTGCAATCATCCGTTGACTCCTTGGTAATATCACCTAGGTCTTACCAGAACCTCTTAGATGAGGGTTTGGAGGCTAAAATGTATATCCAGAGCCTTTGCCTCTTGAATTAAGAAATGTGTTGTCTATTTTCAAACAGCTCACTGTTTTCTTTTTTTTTAACTTTGCTCTGAGGGATTTAAAAACCTGCTTAAGGGCCTGAAATATCAAAGGGCTTTCATGTTAGAAATACTTGTATTAGTTCAATGTGACATTTTCTGGCCTTTCAGACTGGTAATAATAAGGTATTTTTCCCTGCTAAGAAAAACTGAAGAGCCCTTTGCTTACTTGATCATATAACCAGCCATACAAAGTGAATTCTGCTTAGAACGTGACTTTTTTTTTCACTCATTCAAAAGCATTTTTGATCCCTTACTTTGTATTAGGGTTTACACTAGGTGTTGGGTATGCAAGCACTTGTTATAGCCCCAAGAAACCTAGCCTAGTAGGGAAATATGCAAAAAAAAAAAAAAAAAGGAAAAAAAAATTCAAAGCACATTGCTTTAAAGGGGACAGCTCAAAGAATGAGAGGTTAATGCATGTTTTTACGTTTGGGGTAGACGGAAAAGGTTTTTTCCCTAACAGGTAGCACTTACGTAGAGATGGGGTGTGGATTCCATGAAGAGTAACCAGTGTGTGCAAGACTTGAGAATGTAGGCCCAACTGAGAAATTACCTGTTCAGCAGTGTTGGAGTGGAAAGGGCTGGAAGATGGGGTAGGAGGAAAGCAGTAGTGTAAGCTGAGACATTTGGGGTCTGAAATCCATGCTATGTTCTGTATGGCATACAAGTTTTTATTTGCTTCTATTCTAGAGTCATTAGTAGAGTTAGGATAACCACCTACATTTGACTAAATATACTACTTAAATCTTCCTAAAGCAAATGCACATACCATAAATTCTCAGAAACGTCATCTCCAAGTCTCTCTCAGCAGGAATGGTGGGTTAATTCATGGAATTAATTAATCGTTAATTCATGAGTCAAACGTAAGGATGTCAAAGCTCGGCAATTCCTGCAGTCCTCTCAGGTGGGCCAGCATGTTTCTCCCTGCCCCTTTACAAAAAACTAGGGGTCAGGGAGGCAAAATGGATGGGGGAGGCCAAGCATTATTACCTAGAGCCTAAGTTGGGAACTGAATTGCCTACCAACAACAGAAAGACTGGCAGAATCTGCATGGCGCTTTGCAATCGAGAATTTTGGTATCTCTCTTCCCTCAATTATTTGCATTTTTTTCTTACGTTTACCCCGTTCCCACCCTGATTTATTTGTCCGTCAGGCCTCCTGCTTTTTTCCTTCTCTTTACCAGCTTCCTGGGGTGGAGATTGGGGCCTTGCCCTGCACTAGGCTCGCGCCCCATTATTTGCTTTGCTAACAATTCCATTCTCCTCCCTTCTTATCTTTCCTTTATTCCCTGCCAGCCACCAAGTATCTTCCTCCCCCGCGGCGTCGGGCCTGCCGCTCACCAAAGGCCAGGCCGATCCAGGAACCTCTGGCGGATGCGTGCCTCTGCCACGTCCTCGCTGCCAGCAGGCCAGCGCCTGCGTAAGCAGAGGAGTGGGGGGTGGGAGGTTGGGGGGGTGGGAGGCGGGATCTGCGTGTGAGCGGCGTGGACACGGCCCAATGGGATCTGCAGACAGTGGCAGCGGCGGCGGCGGCGTGGTGCGCGTCAAGGGGCAGGGCCAGGAGGCAGTTGCTGGCTTGTCCCGGAGGCCAAGAGAGCGTTTACCTCTGTGGTCGCATTCCCTTGGGAGTCCGGCAGTACACCTCTACTCCCAAACCCGCGGATAGCCCCACAGGCTCCTGTGTGCTCCCTACCTCGCCAGCCGTTCATCACTCGCCTTGCGGACCGAGCCTCCTGCATCATGTGTGGTAAGGACCGCGGGCGGGGGGCGTGTGCGGGGCGGTGCTGGGGTGCACAGCGGCTGCTGCGGAGGCCTGAGGCGCCGGCGGGAGCGGGAGTGTGGAGTGTGCGAAGTCAGAGTGATGGGCGGGGTCGTCCCACTCTGGCCTCGAGTTTTGGGGCCCCTGCGAGCTGGGGTCGGGGGGTGTGGTGGACTTAAGAGGGTACCTGAGAGGGGGGCGGGCCCTAGAGAGGATCTAGGGGAACGGAGGAGGAGGAGGAGGCTAGATGCAGAGAAGGGAGTCAAGAAGGAAGAAAAATGTTTGTGTAGGAAAAGGAGAGACGACCGAGGGAACTGAGGTGTGCATGGGGGTGTCTTCACAAGAGTCCACCAGGTGAGTGAGGCAACCTGTGGAACATCAGGTGAGGTCTCCCGAACTTACATTGTATTCTTTTAGGATTTACCTTTAAAAGTATATTTATTTTTAGTTACTGTCTTTCGGTCAGGCCCAATAGAAAACAGAATTACAACCAGAGCTATGACAGTGGCATTACACATGATCTTACTTCCTGCCACCTCGACTCAACAGAAACTATCGCTAATTGATAACTTGGTCGAAGAGGTCCAGAAGTGACCATGGCGATAGATCATACATCATTCATCACTTGGATGTGCCCCCATTTAAAACACTTACTTACGAAAAACATTAGTCTCCCTTTAACAAATGTTTTGTCTGGAACAGTTAAAACATCGTTAGGCCCTTTTATTCCGTGTTTCGAGACATAGTTATTTTAATATTACGTAACAGTGTTAGCTAAAAGAAATTGGCAGAATTATATCCGAAATGACTGATAGGCACTAAAATTGGTATTAACTTGGCCATTGTCAATATAAAAAATTGTATCCTTACCTTTCTTGTTGAAATTTACAACTGACCTTACCCCTGAAGGGGGAAAAAACCCACTTTTAGTTTAATTTAATTTTTTATTTTATTTTCTTATTTTTAGAGGGGAAGGGAGGGAAAAAGAGAGAGAGAAACGTCGATGTGTGAGAGAAACAACGGTAAGTTGTCTCTCACATGCTCCCCAGTTGGAGACCAGCCTGAAACCCAGGCATGCGCCCTGACCAGGAATCAAGCTGGCCACCTTTCACTTTGTGGGATGATGCTCAACTGAGCCACGAATTGAAACTTAAATTCTTTGTAGCCTTTCGCAATAAGAACTGAGCAGGGGGTGGCATGTTCTTATTAGTGTATATTTTTCCTGTATTTCACTTTGTGTTAATTTCAGCTCTTGGAAAAGGAACAGGTTTAGAGTAGTTTAAAAAAACAAAACTGGAAAACCTATAAATTGCTTTCTGAAATTATTAGGGTAGAGTGGACTTCAGCATCAGATACAGGTTCTTTCACTGTGTCTAGTTAGTAGAGTGGTTTTGCAAGAATACGTAATTTAGCTTGGAGCTGTATAGTAGTGATTATGCAAACTGGTTAATCCCCATTGTGCTTCATTTAGTAATTTACTTTTCCTGAATGATGAGGTGTGCACCAAGTTAAGTACCTGACCTTCTGGTTGCAGGTCATGTTCCTCATCTTGTTCCAGGAAAAAGGAAGTCAAAGTACTATAAAAGAAAAAAAATTGATCTGGTTTAGAAAAGGTGCAGCGTATAGGGAGACTTTTCAGGTGGAGGCTAGATGTTGAGAGTTTTCACATAGCCAACATTCCCATTCCACAGAGTTATTGCTGAGGGAACAGATTATAAACAGTAAAGAAAGAACTAATATTTGAAGCATTTTTGAGGTCCTGCATTTAAGCCAACCCACACCGTAATTTTGCATAATCTGGAACAGGATCCAGAATTCATTCCCTCTAATGTAAATTATGAAGGTTAACTGTTAAGACAAGAGTTTGTATTTATTTTCCTCCCACATCCTAATTCAAATAAAATTTCTAGGCAGAGAAATTGAGTGAGGAATGAGATCAGATGGGAAAATTTAGAGATTTACTTTCTGAATACCTGCTGCCAATTTGTATTTTTCTAAAAGATTATGTTTTTTCAACATTGCTACATGTTGAAGCAAAATAATGAGGGTGAATGATTTTGTTTGTGCTTTTAAAAAATATGATGTACTGATAAAACAGTTATGTTTACTGGTTTGAAGTGGGATGTTAATAAGTATTAATCAGAAAAATAAGTATTTCATGGTCCAGTAAACTTGGGGAGCAATAGATTAAACAATGTTGAACTGGCTTTTTTAATTGGAGGCCTTCTTGAAACCTTTACTGTGCTAATAAGTGTTATGCATCTCCCAGAGAATAATATGTCTGTTAATGAAATTTACTTTATCTTCCTCTTATTCTTGGCTCTTTGGAGTACAGTTTATTCTTTTTTAGTTGTTTTACCTTTGGCTTTGGTAAGAAAGTGTCAGGTCACCAAAGCTACCCACATTTTTAAAAGGTTTTTGCTGGGGTTTTTTTGTTTTGTTTTTTAAATAAATGATGGTTGTATATAAATAGAATTTTTGTAAATGAAGTTGTGTCTTGCCCTGGCTGGTATGGCTCAGTGGACTGAATGGTGGCCTGTGAACCAAAGGGTTGCAGGTTCGATTCCCAGTCAGGGCACATGCCTGGGTGGTTGGCCAGGTCCCCAGTAGGGGGCATGTGAGAGGCAACCACATATTGCTATTTCTCTCCTTTTTCCTCTCTCTCTCTTAAAAAAAAAACCACACAACAAGATTGTGTCTAAAAGCAGTAAGGGAGCTGCAATTTAAAAGTATCCTGAAATGAATCCTTAAAAAGTTATTTGTAATTATACTGTCTAATGGCTTTGAGAGTAATTGAGGGATGCTGAGACTTGCTGCTAGGATGAATCATAAAACCAGTACTATTAACATATCCTTAGAAATCATACTGGATATAAAGTAGTTGTGAAATAAAATAATTAATTGCTTAATGAGCATTTCCTCAGTTGGGTTTCCTGGAAAGGGAGAGGTAATAGGTTCTATCAATGAGCAGTAAAAAATGGGAAAGAGTTTTATAACTCACAGTTTGGGAAATTCTGCTTTTGGAGATTTGCATTTAGCAAAATTAAAGGTTCTAGGAAGATCTACAAGTGAACCTGTTAACCTGTACCAGGGGTATCTAACCTTTTGGTGTCTCTGCACTGCACTAGAAGAAAAAGAGTTGTCTTGGGCCACACATTAAATACATTGTGAAACGTAATCACACACACAAAAATCTCATCATGTTTTAAGTAAATTTATGATTTTCTGTTGGGCCGCATTCACAGCCATTCTGGGCTGCATGTGGCCCATGGGCCACAGGTTGGACACCCTTGCTATAATCAGTATTTCTTAAACCTTTAATTATGGGACCTTTCCTTCACCTCATCCTTATTTAGCATCCTGCAAAATCGTATTCTATTTTTGTAGTTTGGGAATTTCTGACTGTACATTTCAGCTACCTAGAAAGTGTTAGAAGTGATGGCTTTATATATTTGGCACTCTGCCCTTTGGAGAGATGACTGCAACCAGGGAGTTGCCTTTAAACAATTGCTGTCTGATTTGAGAAAACAAGGAATGCACGTGAAACGGGTGTAGGTGATAATACACAGTCCTTGTTCTCATGTTATAGACCCCAAGTGGAATGAATAGAAATTCAGAGGCTGGTTAGGCTGGGAACATTCTATGTGATCGGGCAGGACTTTTATGTTGAGGAATAGTGCCAGCTGGTAGAGAACTGGTGCACTGTGAAAGTTATTGATGGCATGTATTACTCACCAGTCAATGGAGTTAGAAATAAATTGAGAACTACTGCCAGGGGGGTTGAAAGAAGAAATAGACGTGCCAGCAAAAAGAGACCAAGGACCAAATGGTCAGAGGCAGAAGAGTTCCAAAGTAGTATTGCCTTGGACAGAGTTTACAAAAGTAGAAGAAGATCATGTATGTTTAATACTGCAGAGAGAAGTTAATTGCATTTGGCTATAATAAAACCATTAGATATGCTGCATATGTGAAGGCAGAAGAACTTGATTTCGTTTCGAGGAGGAGAGCAAGTATACTAACAAAGGAAGGAATGTTTTGGAACTGAGAGCCCTGATAGAGTTGAAAAGTTGAGTTCTAGAGCTGTGGTCCCTGACCTATGAGCTGTGAAGTTAGAGGGTATCCATTGGTTGATTCATAACCTAAGCATTGTCTATAAACTGAATAAAAGTTGAACAATAAAAATTCGACCCACTCTTATATAGGATCCTCAAAATATTTTGATGTTAACAAAAAGTTCCATCTTTACAAAGTTGAGGAATCACTTAATGTTAGTACACACAGACCCAGGGAAAGACTTTACGGAGACTGAAAATCTACCTCCGTAAGTTGAGGTCTGGAAAAGACTGAAGAAAGAGGCCGAGCACTCCAATCTGTTTACTAATAGAATTTATTAACAGAAACTTATATATGAAGTATGTCTTGGGTGACTGCAAGACTAAATGGATCCCTGTGCTACTTGGGCGTCAGCAGAGAATTATATAGGGTAAAAGTTGGGGAATAGTCACAGGTCCAAGTGCATGAATACTGCCAGGTATGGAAATTACATTGACTAGGTTAGGATAACAACCTATTCTAGGACACACTAGCACATAGCATGAGGCAAGGGAAGGGTGCTGATTTGTGCCAGAGTGAGTATCAGTTAACATCAGACAGTCTATAAGGAGTGTTTGCGGAAAGCCACTTCCCTTCTGTTCTGGGTCCAGCTTGCAGGACAGACAGCAGTCACCTCACAGAACAGTCTCTCTTCCACACTTATCAGCAGTTATGAGTAGGAGAGGCTGGTTCAGGGAGTAGTATGCAGAATGTGTTTCTCGGTATTATACTTTGAAGATGAAGATGAAGACTTCAGTTCTATAAAGTGAGAATCTACCAAAAATGAGAAAGAAGTTGGGAAGAAGAAATGGGGATTTGAGAGTAGTCTAGATTCTAGACTTTAGAAAAATATCTGGGGGAAAGTTGGAAGGTTAAACAATCTAAGAATTAACAGA